CAGGCATGAGGCACGCTATTGTTTGGATCAAAAGTAGGTTCTGGACTGACCCGTGTGGCTCAGTGGTTGAGCATCGACCTATATGACCCAGGAGGTCAAGGTTTGATTCCTGGTCAGGGCACATGCCCAGGTTGCGGGCTCAATCCCCAGGGGGTATGCAGGAGGCAGCTGATCAGTGATTCTCTCTCTCCATTGCTGTTTCTATCTTTCTCTCTTCCTCTCTGAAATCAATAAAAATATATATTAAAAAAAAAAGAAAGAAAATAGGTTCTGGTCCTAATGAGGGCATAGTTTGCACCTATGTTATAGTAATTTACAGGATCTCAGGCTAGCCTCATCCACTCATTCATGGCCCTAAAAGAGGTCACCAGCAGAGACAGCCCAGGTTTGAGACTCAGAACCTCAATCCTAATATATACTTAGACCTCAGGAAAGTTCCTGAACGTCTCCAAACGCATCTTCTTCATCGGTAAAGTGGGTGTTATGATACTGCTCTAGTTACTTCACCGCATTGCAAGGAAGCGCCAACTCATAGTGAGGTTATGCACATCAAAGTGCTTTTTAAGTGGTTAAGAGTCCTACAATGATAATGTGTGGTCTTTTTAAAAATATATGTATTTTTATTGGTTTTTAGAGAGAGGAAGGGAAAGAGAGAGGAACATCGATGAGAGAGAAGCATCACATTGATCGGCTGCCTCCCGCATGCCCTCCATCGAGGATCGAGCCTGGAACCCAGGCATGTGCGCTGGCCAGGAATCCAACCAACGACCTTTTGGTGCAAGGGACAACGCTCAATCCACTAAGCCACATCCGCCGGGCTTAACTACTGTAATAACTAACACTGATGTTTTTCTGGGGCCAGGAACTGTTCAGGTGTAGCCTACCAAACCTTACGGGAACCCTACAAGATGTGAATTATCATTTCCCATTTTAGAGATGAGGAAACTGATGCCCTGACAGGTTCAGTTACTTTCCTAAAGTATGACAACCACTGACAGAGGTCCAAACACTGGGCTTGCTGCCCACATGTTTAACCACAGTGCCTTACTGACCACCTGGGAGTAGGAGACTTAGATTCTGATCCTAGCTGTGCCTTCTATAATCTTGGGTATGTTTGTCCATCTATAAAATGGGATGGAAAAGAAAATCATAAACTCTGATATCTAAAGCATCAGAAGGTCTGTTCTCAAATGATCGCCTCCTCACCACGGAAAGGTTTGGAGCCATCCTGGGAGACAGTCTAGGGTTTCATGGGGAGAACCCCAGTCTCCAGGAACCAGAGAAGGTAATGAATGGAACAGAAGCAGAAAGGCTGCAGGGGAGAGGACACTGCGCTCCACACACCACACACACTCTTCAGAATGCCCAGCAGCTCCTCCAGCCTCCTCCATGATGGCCCCTGGTTCAGCCCTGCTTCCCTGGGTTATTGATTGAGGAGGTTCTTCCCCAGAGCCTTAAAGGGGGCCACCTCTGGTCAACAAATAGCTCCAGTGACACTCCCTGAGCACTTTCTATCGGCCGGATGCTGTGCTGAATACAGGAACCAATAGATCCAGTCAGTTCCCTTCTCAAGAAGTTCGCAGTCTCTTGGGGGAGACAGGCATGTAAACAGCTAATGCAAGTACACATGAATATTCAATAGGTAGAAACAGCCTCCGTGCTCTGGGAGCAAAGAGGAAGCATTTGCTAGAAACCTTGAAAGTGGTGTAGGAGAATAGAGGAAGGGCATTCTGCTGAAGGAACAGTGTGAGCAAAGACATGAGGTATGCAGTGCCTCTGACTGGCAGACATCCCAGTGAATTAATGCCAAGCAAGTCCCAAGGGAGACAGAGATGAGGGTGGAAGAGAAGGTGGGGGCTGGGGGACGGATCGTGGGGGGCCTTGAATGTCAGGGTGAGGAGTGAGACAGCCAGAGGGAGGTGTTATGTGAGCCCTGGGGACTTGTACATGGGGCCAAGAGAAAACGTGCCCTGAGTTCACCCTTCAAACAAGCAACATCTTACCCTCCAAGCTTTCCCAGCTTGACAGTTCCAGCTCTGCCCTCCTTCCCTCCCCCAGCCTGCCCTATAAGTGGATCCAGATGGTCATTCCTATTTTAGGTCGTATGTGTTGGGGGAGGGGTAGCCATGAGCCCTATCAATCCTCTCCTGAGCTCTGTTAGAAGAGCTTCTTCCAGGACCCCGCTGTGATCCTGAGCCTGGAAGGAAGTGTTAGTCTTTGATGGAGATTTCCCATCTGTCTGTGGGTGATAGGGGTGGCAGCCACAGAGGAGGAAAGGGCACAAGCCAGGAAGGTTTTTACAGTGGGTGAGAGAAACAAGGTAATGTGTATGTGTGAGAGGGCCTTGTGGATGGGCTTTGGTGGGGAACAAGCCTGGGGTAGGTGCCCCAGAGGAGTCAGAGGAGCTAGACCTCCAGGTACCTGGCCCTCCTCATGTGCCTGCCTAAGACATGCAGCTACCTAGGCCAAGGGCAGGATGGTGCAGGTCATAGGGAAGGGAGCTAGGGCTCTCTGGTCAGAACCTACTCCAGAGCACTGTACCAATCAACCTCCATGGGTCCCTTAAAAAAGCTTGGGGCACCAAGAGGTAGCAGGTGATAAGCTAGGTTCCTGTCCTTAGACTGTCTGTAGACACCAATGAAATATTTGCCATTCATCCGATTTAGCAAGTATTTATTAAGCAGATGCTATGTGCTAGACCAATGGTCGGCAAACTGCGGCCCCTTGAGTGTGGCTCTTCCACAAAATACCACGTGCGGGTGAGCACGTACAGTGCGATTGAAACTTCATGGCCACACTCAAGGGGCCAAAGAACCGCATGTGGCCTGGGAGCCGCAGTTTGCCGACCACTGTGCTAGACAATACTAGGCATTGGGTTTACAGAAGTGAACAGGGAGTTCCTGCCCTCAAGGAGTTTCCAGCTTAGTGGGGGAGTCCAATAGTACACAGCTACAAATGTGCTGTGAAGAAAAAGAATAGGGTATCTCAAGGGAGAGTGCCAGGGGCTTTCTAATTTAGATTGGGTGGTCAGGGAAGGTCTCTCTGAGAAAGCGACATTTAATCTCAGATGAATGGAAGCTAGCCAGTTTAAGTGTTGGGGGCCAGGGGGGATTTCAGAGAACAGTGTGTGCCAAGTTCCTGGGCATGAAAGAGCATGGCACATGAGAGGAATGAAAAAAAGGCCAAGATGACTATAGTATAGTGAACAAACAAGAAAAGGGCATATGCAAATGCAGGGCCTTGTAAACCATGGTAAGATATTTTTGTTTATCTGAAGTGCTATGGGAAGATACAAGGTTGTCAGATTAGTACTTGTGTTACTACTACCCAATTTGTGGCAGGTCCTGCGAAAGACTTTTAGGTTGTTTACTCATCTATACACACAATAAAGGACTAGAATTACGAGTTGACAATGACAGTAGAGGAATGTCTAAAGCACAGACCTCCTTCAGAGCCTGTGATTTAGAAGATTAGATAGCTATAGTGATTGAATTAAGATGTAATGTGATTAATTCATTCAACAAATACATACTGCACACCTGATCTATTCCAAACCCTGTGCTAGATGCACTTCAAGGATCACACACCACACATGGGTCACAGGAGAAGCACAAACATACTCAAAGAGTTTTGAGTGGGTTAGAGTCATTTTCATCTGTGATATCTATGAGGTCTTTAAAAACATCCAATCATTCAATAAACATATTTGGCATCTGCTCTGCACAAGGAACTATGCTAGCTACTGAAATCAAGGACCTTAGAGTTCCATAACAGACGGACATATCCCTCAGAATGCATTAAAATATTAGGTGTTGTTCGGCTGGTGTGGCTCAATGGTTGAGCATCAACCTACGAACCTGGAGGTGATGGTAGGATTCCTGGTCAGGGCACATGCCCAGGTTATAGGCTCGATCCCCAGTGCGGGGCGTGCAGGAGGCAGCCGATCAATGACTCTCATCATTGATGTTTCCATCTCTCCCTCTTCCTTACTCTCTGATATCAATAAAAATATATATTTTTAAAAATACTAGGTATTAAAAAACAAGACAGCAGCTTTTCTGTAGATCAGTATTGAGGGAGGGTGATTCAAGGGAAGAAGACCTTCCCAAAAAGGCGTAACTCCCACCTACCTTGGTGGACTTGTCCATATCTCCCTCTGGCCCAGTTTTTAGTGCTGTCTTCCTTCTTGTTTCCCTATTTCCCTTTTCCACCCTGCATTTTTTGGTCTATCTTGGCATCCTTTAAAAAGCTCAAAAAATCCAAGATTTGAGCATGGTTTCTTTATATGGCTGTGTGATATCTCAGACAATTATATACCTTCCCTAAGCCTCAGTTTTCCCATCTGTACAATGAAGGGATCGGATCGCATCCAAAGCTCAGGATTTACTTCAGCACGTTGTGCTCTGCAAGGCCGTTCCTTGCACAGCTGCACGGTTCCCTCCACCCCCCTCTCACCCCTGTGCCACCTGGCAAACATCAAGACGCAGCTCAAATATCTTCAGGCAAGTCTCTACTTCGACACACACGACACACAATATTTTAGTCTATCCTTCCATTATGCTACCACCGCCTCGTAAGAGATGATGGGATGAAAAGGACAAGGGAGACAGGCTGGGTTTGAGTCGTGGCCATTTACCTCACTGCTTGAGCCTCAACTGCTCACTTGTAACCTGGGAGAAATACCTAAATTCGCAGGTCTAACCAATTCATGGCGATTAAAAACAATATATCAAGTGCTTGACGCCTAAGACGTGCTCAATAAATAGCGACTGCATCGCCCCTTTTAGGAGCGAGCCCTCAGCTTACTGAATTACAGAGTTCTGGGTCGGTATCCGTGCGGTGAAGGTGCAAACGCGCAAAGCTGGAGGGCGCCGAGGGCCCGGGGCCAGGCAGCCCAGGCCCTGAGGGACGCACGCGACTCCAATTCCCGGTGGGAAGGCCAAGCTGGGAGGACCCCGCCTCCCGGAAGTGACGCCACGCGGAAATCAGCGATCCAGCAGGGGCGGGCCGGAGCGGGGCGCGCACAGCATGGCGGAAGCGGAAGGGATTTCGCCTCTCCTGTTGCCGCGGCAGCCACCCCCGCCCGGGATGGCGGAAGTGGAGGCGCCGACGGCGGCCGAGACGGACCAGAAGCAATCCAGTGGCTCTGGCGGCGGCGCCATGGACGTGGAGCGGAGCCGCTTTCCCTACTGCGTGGTGTGGACGCCCATCCCGGTGCTCACGTGAGTTTTCTCCGGTGTCCGCCTGGGTCCGCGCGGACTCC